CTTTAAATAAATAATTCGTATTTTCAGGTTGTAAATATTTATTTCAAGATTTTAAAATATTTTAATTGCGGCCACTAAATGCAAATAGATGGCTTCTAACTAGCCATCTAAATGCATGAATGTAAAAATATAATACTCCTCCGGTCCTAAATGTAAGACCCTTATACACACTAGTATAAGGATCTTACATTTAGGACCGGAGGAGTATATAAATGAGTATAAGAAACTTTAGGCCTCAATGTTTCCAAATTGCATGGAGTTAATACGCAAAGCAAACAAGATCCAGAAAATTAATTAAATAAGGTTGCAATTTAAAGAGGGGAATGAATTTTTGAAGCTCAAGGAAGCTCAAAGTCCTTTTATCTCCGCAAAATGCAAGCCTGAATCTTGTTCTGCAGTTGTGGGTCCAGTTGATCAAATTCAGATTCGATCTCAGGTAGAGCGGCCTATTCTTTCAATTCTCCAGCACTTCCAGCAGCATCTGTTAGATGTATCCCATCCTTGATTGCTTTGTTTGACTCCTTCAACTGCAGAAATTCGCTTCCAACTTCATCACCAGACTGAGATTCAATCGGCGAAATCAGTTCTCCAGCATTAATTCCTTCTTGATTCAGCAAGTAATTCTCAACATCAGTACTTCCAGTATGTGTTTGATCTCCATGATCTCTTTTCAAACCTTCATAATGCTCTTGATCGAATCTGCTCTCGGGCAATTTTTGCACTTTCAAAATCTGTACCAATTTCTCTAATTGAATTCACATCATGCGGCAGTAGTGAATTTTCTTGCCCTCCATATTAGTCCTGGGGTCGTGGAGCTCCAAATTCGCCCGTTGATCTTCTCCATAATATATGATCCTCATGTCTACTGAAGAAAGATTCAAGTTCTCTTGCCTCCTTTTGTATCTTCTCAGGGCACCCAAGCATCACCATTTCAACACCCAATCTGTCCCATCGGCCATCGCACCTTCTTTTGATCATAAAGTTCTTTCAATGCCTTTGTTTGTCTATCAAACGTTGAAGTGAAATTCTCTCGTTCAAGAGGCAATCTTATCCCATCCATAATGTTCAGTAGGGAGGCAGCGTAGGCATGCTAACTCCGTGGTTGCTTGAAACGCAGGAGAGGGGTCCATATGGTGCAAGGGAGGGAGAGTTGACTCCCACATCCTTTCCTCTTGAATGGTCTTAAATGGGGAATGAGAAGGTATTTTTGGTTTTTGAGGGCAATCCTTTCCACTTTGCCAAAATGAGTTGCAATATAAGCACTGTGGTTCCTCAGGTTCTTGCGCTGTAGGATAGGAGGTTTCATGTTGCAAATGAGAGTAGCTTGGCGTCCACATTCTCCCTCCTTGAAAACCTCTACTTCCTGTGTCATAATCCAGAAAACCATTAGTAGGCATAGCGGAGTAAGAATTGAATCTTTCAATATTCGAACACTATTCCATGACTCAATTGAATTGGAAAATTGCCCAGTTCAGCTCACAAAATTCATGCAACAAATTGGTAGCAAAATTCAGCGTAAACACAGCAGATTTTCCCAAAATTCGAGGACTAAAACTAATGCATAAACACAGCAGCAAGTCAAAAAATTTCAGAACTCGGGTAATGACAGCAAGAAAACCAGTAGAATTCTTAGCTCTTAGGTTTTCTGGTTCTGTGCAGCAAGTCAATGACAGAAATTTCACAGAACTTGACAGTAAAAATTGCAGTCAGATTAGTGAACTTCAGAAATTCAACAATAATTCAGCAGCATTTTGGCAATTCAGAACAGCAGCAAGAGTTCAACAATGCCAAGTCAAGGGATCACTAGAAGTTCAGCATACAAGCAAGGAATCAGATCTATGCTAATACATCAGCACGTAATTAACTCAATTTCAAGAAGCTTTCTGCAAACTGTGCAAAATATCCAACAACGAATGGTTGAATATTTTCAGCAATGCACACTCAAAATGGTGAGAAATCGACAAGCACTTGTTTCAGCTTCCCTTAATGAACTAAATAAGTTTACAGTATTTCAAATAAGTATTAGCAACTCCAGTCACTGGATTCAGTCAAGTTAGAAGAAAATGCAATTTTAGCAAGAACTTGTGGGTGCAATCCCAAGTCACAAAAATATATATTTTTTCTTGCAGTGAATAACAGAAAGCTTTATTTGATTTTTAGACAGAGAAATGGTATGTCTTTGTTCACAATTCAGAGTTTTACTACCAGAAACAGTGTTAAGAAGCAAAAATCAGACAGTAATAGTAGCAATAAGGTCCAACACAGCAACTTTAATCTTCAAACACACAGAATGCGAGGCAATATTATTCAGCACAGTACACAAAACACGCCAAAGCAGGTTCATTCTGTTAATGAGCTGAATTAGCAAATAATCTGCCCTGTTGACACAGAAGTAATGTAATCGGAACAAGGAACTCTTCATTTTATTTTCTCAGAATTGGTGCAAGTGTGATATTTAGCAGAAAATCTTCACCCAATGATGCGAGATGCTGGCCAGAATGCAATTTTGTACCTGAGCACAACAAATCCCAGCTAATTCCACTAACAGGATGAACAGAATGCACAACAAAATATTTATATTTTTCCAGAATTCACAATGTACATAGGCTGCCAGCCACTAAACCAAAAAATTGGACAATTAAAATCTACTTGCCAGCAAGCAATTTTTATCCCTTAAGAGAAATCAGTCAAGAACAGTCAAACCAGAGGCAAAACATCTTTCAATGCCCACCAAATTCAGCAAGATTCAGAAGCTAGAACCTAAGCAAATGCACTAAAAATTCAATAGAACAAGTCAAAGAAAAATTTGACACTCGATCAACAAAAGAAACTAAGCAACCATGCCTCCCAGCAATGATGCCAGTTTGATAAGACTTGTCATAGGGCTCTCAAAAATACTAGAATTAAGCTCTATAATATAATAGCTTAACCCTAGGTCAGATCACAAGGAGGCTAATTGTCTTGGGATTTTAGTTAATTAAATGCCTTTACAAGTGACTAACTGTGAGAATGGAGTGATTTTATCTACGTGATCTATCTATCTGTTCTACTTTTTATATTGATTTTCTGGTTTTAGATGAATAATGAGTGACGGTGATGGGAATGACAGAATATGATAATTGCAATGATGATAATGATCTTCCTAAGAGTGTGACTCAACCTTCATTACCTCGTAAAATAATGGAGCTAAATGCATTCAAAAGGAAACATGCATCGCATTATGAATTGATGGACTGAAAATTCCTAAAATAGCATCAGTCTATAACTACCATATCTCATTTGATTCAATTGCAACATCAAGTCAAGCAAGACCTAATAATCCAATTAAATCTACTGCAAGTCAAGGAATAAACCATCGGTTCAATCACAACTTTAATCTGAATATACAATGTCCTTAAGAATACAAACCAGATCTAATCCAATAATCACAAATAGCTTATACAACAAGATAAGCCAATCACGAATATGAGAAATCGATGAACTCCCTTGTTGGCATAATGGTTCTGGCTTAGGTCCACATCTTAGGGAGGATGAAAGAATCAGCCACACATGACTATAGGAGAGGCTACAGCAAGCTTAGATCCAAAGTCAATCATGGTGGAAAGTGAACAGAGGTGATGGCGGCGGCGGAGAACATGAAGGTCCAAAGAAAGAGATAAAGTGAGATCGAGAAAGAGTGATGATACTTCTTTTCACTACAAGCACAAACCTCCTGATAAGCGCACAGGATTGACATATATGAAATGATGAAAACGGATCCCTGTGCATTCGCTCCAATTTATCTTCTTTTTGTTTGGGTTCTAAGACGAAAACCAGATGGGGTCTATAGATTTTTGATAACCCAACAACTTTTAGTTAATATGTGAAAGCAGCATATATAGCAATAACATATAAGAATTTTAAATCACGGTTTTCTTAGGATGTATTTAAGACTCATTATCTAATCACGAGCATTGGTTCAAGAAGTAATAGCTCAAACCATTCATGTGTAGTCCAACTTCTATAACACAAAATATTCATGCATCAGCAAATTCATGCTAGATCAACATAAATATGCAATTTGAACTTGAGCCATAGTGCCTCAGCTTGCTTCATTTTCGTAACAAGCCTCTATCAATCATATCATGAAGAAGTTGTTCTGCCTTATCAATCTCTTCTCCTTCAAGAGTGCCTCGAATAATTACTTTGTAAGTTATAAAATTAGGGGAGCAGCCTCTTTCTTCCATTTTATGAAGCAACGCATGTGCTTCATCAAACACCCTCTTTACAAAGTCCATCAATCACAGTAGTATATGCATGAGCATTTAGAGGAAGACCTTTGGCCAACAAATATTGAAAAATATCTACTGCAGTATTTAGTCTACTGCCTTTGATCAAACCATCAATTGGTGTAGCGCACGTGATCACATCAGGCAAAATACCATGATTGAAAATTTGTAACAATAATGTAATTGCCTCGTCAAGTCGTTGGCTTTTGCACAATCCATCTAATAAGATACTATAAGTAATTATAGTGGGGAGACCATCACTGTCATGCATCATATAAATAAGATCTTAAACATATGAAATTCTCCCTGATTTGAGACAGCCATCAATTAGAGTATTGTAAATTACAGTATCAGGTACAACATTTTCTACCTGCATTTCTTTAAAAAGATTCATGGCTTTATCCACCTTTTTAATCTTACAATACCCATTGATCAAGATGTTATAGGCAATAATTGTAGGTTCCAACCCACTTTTGAGCATCTTATCAAATACTTTGCTTGCCTCATTAACATTATTAGTCAAGCAATAGCCATCCATCAAAGAAGTGAAAACCTTAACATAAGGTTTCTGATCAAACTTCATCATCTTACCAAGCAAAGCTTGACTCATGCTGTAAAAACCATAGATTAGAGAGTTATATGTGACAATTTCAGGAGACATTCCTTGATCAAGCATTTCATAATACACATCTCGTGCCTCAATTAAAAGTTCACTTTTACAGAGGCCCATCAATGATCGTGTTGTACATGATTGTGTCAGGCTTAATTCCCAATCTCTCCATATTCCGGAGCAATTTAACGGCTGATCTTGTTTTTCCTGACTTGCATAGTCCATTGATCAAGGTGTTATAAGTGACTACCATGTCCACCAAGAGGTTGGGGCTACATAACTTTTTTTTTCTTTAATCATGTCATAGTGTATTTGTTTTATAACTTAAGACAGATACTTCCCTTTTTTTTTAGCAGAAAGATAGATACTTCTTTAAAATTGCGTGTTTTTTAAAATAATAATAATTTTTATTTCATTGTTTTATCTCCTATAAATTCTTAATTTTTTTTGAGAAGATCGAATGTGTAATAGATTGTGAAAGAAAATATATGTTTTGACTCAAATATGATAAGTTGTCAAGATTTTTTTTTTTGGGTAATATAAATCATTTAATGATTATTAAAATGTGCATATTTTACATCAAATAACATAACAGCTATTCTAAAAGTTGATCTCACAGCTATACCATCCAAGTACAACTTGTTTTATGGTTTAGTCAATATCTTTGAATAATCAAAATTGTTATGAATACAATCCATTACAAAAAGCCTAGAATAGACCAAAAACCACAATGTATAATTCAACTCTACCACTCCACTTGGAAAATTGAGGGTGCCAATTGCCATGACTAATAAGGAACTTCATGCATCTACAAATAGCCGAATAAAATCTATCTTCACTAGCTCAAGTGCTTCAATCTTTCTTCACTTGGCTAATATTGTCTTTTGGCTAGCAATAGGGTCTTTTCTTATCAAAATTATTTCTTTTACGATTATTTAATATCTGATACTCCCTCTAATTTTTGTTATAGAGCATTCTCAACTAATTTTCATATATTAAAGAATGTAATCAAAGTATTAAATCTGTTCTAAATTGATAATTTTTTTCAAGTTTACCCCCAATTTAAATGACGTAGATGGATGAACACGGAGTTTGGTAAGCTTTTTAACACTAAATGTTAATTATTAACAAGGGTAAAATTAGAAAGTAGCAATTAATGAGTCGGTTAATGAGTTATGTTTAGGACCAAAAATTAATATTCAAATATTGTTGGGCTTAAATATTTAACTCTCTTAAGACCTATTCTTTCCATCATAAAGTTTTCACCATATACCCCAATCTAGTCAGCAATAGTATTTCTACAAAAGCAATTGCATATAATCTTTGGCATGTACACAATCTTCAACACACAAGGACAACAAGATTGCCATGTGTTTTGACATTTTTGATCCCTTCTTCAACCCACACCACCGAATTTGGACAGTTGAGGGTGCCATTGCCATAACTGATACGGAACTTGACTAGCAGATAAAAACAAATGTAGATAAATACGTATCAAATAACATGTGCGTTGACATTTATGCACAAAACGCCAGTATCTCTTGTACATAAAACCTGACTGGTGTGCTTCATCTTTCATATATCTCTGAATTCTAGTTTTGAGCTCCAGTTTTGTATATGGGACTGTCTTGGTTCCTTAGTAAATCAATGTTTAATCTTCCTCTTTATTTTCTATTCACATTCACAGTCATTAATTGTTTTGTTTTTGTGCAGCCTGCACCACGTCATCAAGCTGAAAGTTCTGCTTTGCTGCAACTTAAGAAAAGATTTGCCATCACTAAGTTTGCTTCTCAAAGTTCTCTCAGTTATACTAAAACAAATTCTTGGAATTCAAGCTCAGACTGCTGCTCATGGCTTGGCGTGAAATGTGATGAGCAAACAGGTCATGTGATTGGCCTTGACATTAGCAGCTGTCAGATTTATGGTTCTATTGAGTCTAATAGTACTCTCTTTCACCTTTCCCAACTTGAAAAGCTTAACCTTTCTGATAATCACTTTAATTACTCTCATATCCCATCAAGCTTTGCCCATCTTTCAAGGCTTACCCATTTGGACCTTTCTGGGTCCAAATTTTCTGGAGAAATCCCAGAAGAGATTTCACAACTATCCAACTTGTTGGTTCTTGATTTGTGCTGTAACTATGATGCCTCATCTCCTCCAACAAATCTGCTGCATTTCAAGCAGCAAAACCTGGGAAACGTAGTTCAAAACTTAACTAATTTGCAAGTACTTTCTCTTGGCTATGTTAATATATCGTCTCCAATACCTAGTGCACTCACCAATCTGTCTTCTTTGGAATACCTTTGTCTGCTCAGTACTGGATTACATGGTGAATTTCCCATAGGAATATTTCATCTTCCAAATTTGGAGTATCTCAATGTGGGAGCGAAGCAGGGTCTCTCTGGGTATTTGCCTGAGCTTCACTCTAGCATACCCTTGCAGTTTTTAGGACTCCAGAGTGCTGGCTTCTGAGGGAATCTACCTGGTTCAATTGGAAACCTCACTAGGCTCATTTATTTGGATCTTGGATATAACCAATTCAAGGGAAATCTACCTTCTTCCTTGTCAAATATCACCCAGTTATCTCATCTGGATGTTTCAGGGAACAAGCTTCACGGGAAAATACCACTCTCAATTTTCTCACTAGAGAATCTTGGCTATATGGATCTGAGAGGAAATCACTTGTCTGGGCAATTAGAACTTAACATGTTTTTCTGGAGCTTCAAGATGCTATCCGTTCTCTGTTTGTCATATAACAATCTGTCATTGATTATCAAGCCAAGTGCATTCAATGCAAGTCTTGCCATGAATATTAGAACATTATTTTTGGCTTCTTGCAGCATGAATGAGTTTCCAGAAATTCTGAAAGACCGGGACCAGCTCGAAGAACTTGACCTGTCAAACAACAAAATAAAGGGTACCCTCCCAAGCTGGATATATAGAAAAGAAAATCTTTGGGCATTATTACTTTCTGACAATTCTTTTGTTGGAGAAATTCCACCATTGATCTGCAATCTGAAATCACTTGAGTTCCTCGAATTATCGTACAACAATTTAAGTGGTAACATTCCACCATGTTTAGGAACTTTCAGCAGAAAGTTGCAAGCACTCAAGCTGGGGAACAACAGGTTGTATGGCTTCATTCCTCAAACATTCATGAAAGGAAGTGCCATCAAGTTGATTGATCTTAGCCAAAACAATTTACAGGGTCAGATGCCTGAAACATTGAGCAATTGTAGAATGTTAGAGTATCTTGATGTCAGCAACAACCAAATCAATGGTTCTTTTCCTTTGTGGTTGGGAAATCTACCTGAGTTGAAAGTCCTTGTGCTACGTTCTAACAAGTTTTCTGGAGTTATAAGCTCCCCAACAACTTGCACATTTCCCAAGCTGCACATCATTGATCTTTCTCAAAATGATTTCTCAGGAAACTTTCCTTCAGAGTTACTTCAGGACTGGGCATCCATGAGAGCTTCTGCCGCGAATCAGCTCAAGTATGAGCCATGGTATCACTATTACAAGCAAACAGAAAGCTACTGGGGCTTCACTTACCCTTATTCCTTCACAATTTTCAACAAAGGAAAACTCATGGTCTATGAGAAGCTCCAACAACTGTACTTCTTTATAGCCATCGATCTCTCAAGCAACAAGCTTAACGGAGAAATTCCAGATAACATTGGAGACTTGAAGGGGCTTGTTTTGCTCAATCTGTCTAATAACTTGTTCACTGGAGGTATTCCATCTTCTCTGGGAAAGCTATCTCAACTTGAGGCATTAGACCTTTCCCACAACAATTTAACAGGGAAGATCCCTCAAGAACTTACAGAACTCAACTTCCTTGAATTCCTCAATGTGTCCTACAACCATCTGTCTGGTCCAATACCTCAAAACCCTCAGTTTGACACATTCGAAAGCAATTCATTCGAGGGGAACCAAGGATTATGTGGGATCCAGTTGTTGAAGAAATGTGAAGATCATCGTGGAGAGCGTGTGATAACTCCTCCTTCAGAAGATGATGAGCCCCTCTTTGAATTTGACTGGAAGATAATTGTGATTGGATATGGAGGTGGACTTGCTTTTGGAATAGCTATGGGAAGCACTTTTATTCCAGAGAAGTGGGCATTTCTTGTCCTTGAAAGGCTCCATATAAGAAGACTTTACAGAAGATATTGACAAACCAAAATTATGCAGTTTGCTTATTGCTTCACTGAGTGGTGTTTGTAAAAGTTTCTTTATAAGTTTCTTTATGTTTGTAAAAATCATCTTGATCTTTCTTTTTTGTCAATGTTGCTTGCTGTATAAGTAATATAAAAAATGAGATGAACTATATTGTACAATATATATTGAAGTGAACCGCAGCTGCAGTAGAATGTATGAATTCCTTGTTTATAACAATAATTGTTACTGGAATCTTGTAAGCATTACATTCATCATCTAGGTTCACAATGCAACATGTGATCATAATAAATTGTTCCAATTATTAAATGACAGATTCGTGGACTCAACAGTTTATGGTTCATTCCGAATGATTTATATTTCTCAATTGTGATTTACGATAAATACGTAAAAAGAATTTTGTCACAACTTATAAAAGCCTATAGCCATTTTCTACGGTCGTCAATCTTGTCCTTTGTTGCCTGTATATTGACGGCTTGTCATGTATTTTTATGAGCTCATTTGCTTGGCCACTCTTGGAATTGTTGTTCTTAAATTCACTTTTTCCATTTTTGGCTGATCATACTGCTGGAATTAAATGATTAACGATTTGCTTCTACTATTTTTATAAGTTGATGTAATTAATGATATCTCCTGTCTTCTTCTTAGCAAGTTGAATGGCTTCCTTTTGATCATTTAGCGTTTTAATACATTGCCAATAAAAAAAATGGTTAAGTTAGTAAGCATTTAACCCATAATCCACAATATTATAAATTTAAATTTTGTCATTAACTTGAGAATCTTATTGGTAGGTGATCAATCTGTCTATAAGTTTTTTAAAAAAAAAATTCAAATATCATTAGAATATAAAGAAGTGAAAAACTAATATCCTAACCAACTTAAGTTGATACATACCAGTTGGAGCTTGGGCTTTCATTTCTGTACTAGGAGTTTGATTCTCAGCTTTTTAAGTATGAAGCAGATCCAATTGTGATTGATCCTGACCAACTCTTAGGGATTAACACTAACCTTATTACTATCAGCCAAAAAAATTAGGGATTAATATTAATTTATTCGGATTTGAATATTAATTTATGACATTTATTAGTATGTTTTTTAATTTCATACATAAAACTTAACAATTAAAAATATATTAATTTAATTATAATGAATTCCATATAATAGGACTTTTTAATCAATCAAACAAGGTGAGGATAAAACCTCCTCACCCCTCCCCCCCTTCCCTCCCCTCAAACCAAACAGACCCTTAAGGACTTAAACGAACCAATTTGAAAAAATTTCTACTTCTATAATGAGTGGTGCCATTTGTTTTTAAAAAAATATACGTAACAAATTGAAGCATTTAATTTAAAATACATAATAAAAACAATATATATAAATATTGTTGAGGAATGATAAATCGAAAAAAAAAAAAAGCCCTCTTTAACTTTTGTAACGGCTGGTCTCGTATTAGGAAGTCAAAGACAAAGATTGTTTATTTGACCTGACCGAAGTATAACTCTAGGCTATAGTTTATTATTAATACTACCTCAAGTCCTAATTATAAGATCTAGTTAATTAATTTGAGGAGATTAAGAAAATAAGTTAAGTTAATTATTTGTAATAAATAGGTGTTGCTTTTCCTAAAATATCTATGTTAATCAAGTGTGTTAGCTAGAACTCCTATTATTAAAAAGACTATCTTAGAAAAAAAAAGCATAAATATTAGAAATAAGATGGATTGAGGTCTTATATTTAGAACTAAAATAAAAATCAAATAAGATCTTATATTAAAGACCAGAGGTAGTATGCAATACGTTAAAAAGTGTAGACAGCAAAGCATTGGACTTTACGAGCACCTTAAAAATTCGCCCATGTTTTAATGCATTTTCTAGATACTCATGATGGAGAGCTCCGAATGGAGACAACATCACCATATAGACAATCATATGATCTAACTTTGTACCAAACATGATCAACCTGTCATTAAATGCTATTTTCCAATCTAAATTTTATTTAAAAACTTTATTTCCCTTTTTTAAAAAAAAAACCATTTTTCAAATTCAGATTTCTTTAGTTGTCTAACTGATGAAGCGAGAAGATACATGTCTGCAAGCAATGCAAGCCGAGGTCCCGTTTAAATGGAAGAATTGCTAAAAAAATCATTCATTGCAAAATTTGTTACGCAGAAATACATTTCTTTATATGAATGTAATCTATCTTCAACTATGTGCAAAATGAAGGACATTTGTACACAACTAGAGATATGTTACATAGTTGAAGAAGAGTTGCACTTATTAAAAATGAATTGTACCCGTTCAATAATTTGAGTCCCTAAGTACTTTTAAGCAATAAATTTTGTAATGGGAAAATTTTCAGCAATTTTCCCCATATAAGTTTCATTCTATTTCTATCCCTCCCCTTGCATGAGGAATCCAAATCTAACAATTGCTTACCATTCAAATAAATTAATAGGTTAAGATATAAATTTGTCCTGAAAGTTTTTACTATAAATTCGGAAGTCTTTTTAGATTAAATTTACCCTGAAAGTTTAAAATCATGGGTAACATTTTAACTATTAACATTAGCTTTTTAATTGTAAGGGGTAATATTGTTACAATTTTAAACTTCTAAAACAAATTTACTCTAAAAAAAAATTCCATGCTCCTGAGTGAAGACTTCCAGTACAAATGTGCATTTTAACCCTAAATTAATTTGCACATTGGAATGATTGTGATGAGATGATGAGCTTGCTTCTTCAATAAGTGATCAGAATTTTCAAACAGGGCCAAAATATCACTTCTTGATGAAGAATTATTGATGTTCATATAAGATGACTACTGCACATGTGCATGGCTTTTGTGTTCCCGCCAGCCCTACATGGTCACGCGCCACTGGTAAGGCTCTCAATCAAAAGACTTTGACTTGGACCCAAAACCCATTTTTTGTTTTCATCTTCGTGAAAGGAATGGTAGAAGATAGCTATTAGTGGAAGATATCATATCGTATCTGTGTAATTATTATTGTATGGGACCCCAATAGATACCCCACTTCATTAACTATAGCCAACTTCTTTAGTGTTCTTCCCAATTTTTGACGTTTCCTGCTTGCTATCTCTGTTTTCTTTCACGTGAAAAGGCATATAAATGACAGTGGCAAAAGGAATATTACCTTTTTTCCCATTCAATTTTAATTCACAGTTCCATTCTGATTATGTTATGGTGAATCTGAAACTATAAACTTTTATTTCCCATTTCTGGCTATGTTTGGTAACTACTTTTGTTCTTGTGTGTATCTTTGACTTTGTTGTTCCTGCTGTGATTTGCCTCTATATTTAGACTTGTAGACCTTGCAGTTTAAGAATTATGAAGTCTGAACAGATTGAAAGGGTGATTATCAAAAAAGCAAAGTATGACCCACAAGTGTGGCCCGTGGCTCTGGACAACTACAATCTATGGTTGAACACCACCTGTTTGATGAACGTGGGCAAAGAACTTCCCCAATATCGACATCGCCATTCGGGGTCTCTGTCTCTTTCTCTACTTCACTACCTTAAGCCCATCACTGCTATACTTTTTCTTATCCTCTGACATCTCATTTCAATATCATATTGCTGGGTTTTCTCATTCTTTATGGATCGTACTGACAAGCAGCAGCAGCAGTCCTTGGGAAAGAGTTCAAGGCATCGATGCAGTGAATGGTTTGTTTCATGATTTCTTAGTGCATTTGTTGCTTAATTTGCTCATGCCTTTTTCATTTTCTTTCTGTGAATAGTATTGTTTTGGGTAATTTTGACTTATGTCTGGAAGCTGAACTTAGATCCTTATTCTTGCTGATAGCTTTGATACCATGGAACCGAAAATTGTAGATTTTGTGGTTGACTTTTATCATTGAACTTTCCAGGTTTTATTTCTGTTTTTTTCCTTCTTACAACATTTTTATTGAGGGTTTAGTCTCTGTTTTTATTCATTGAGCTTCTGATATATATTTTCCTTCTTAAAGCACTTCTTTCTTTTTCTTTTTTTTTCTTTTTTTAAATAAAACATCTCTTTTCCCCCCTTTTCAATTCGTTGAGCTTCTGATATATATTTTCTAAACCTTCCAAATTCTAACATTCTTATGATGTAATGTAATTAGTCTCTGTTTCCAGTTTTCTTTATGGTGGCCAAGTGGTATTATATTGAACGGTCACTCTGTGGCTTGGCATGTATTGAACGGTGTTAGAAAAAGTGAGATGCCGCTATTTGAGTCTCAAATATAGGACTTGTAAGTAAAGGAATAAGCTAGGTGCATAATATTTGAACGCACATGAATTCTGTTGTAATTGATGTTAATACGTTTTCTTTATACAATTTGCTTGTAAGTTTGATGCCAGCAAGTGCTGAGTCACATCAAGATCTATTTTTTCTCCCTGAAAGCTTAACGATGTACTGGATCGTAGAAAAATGATACCCCATGTGTGGTAAACGTTTTGCTTGACTCTTTTGAATTTCAAAATACTGGATCATAGAAAAATGATACCCCATGTCAAGAAACTTATTGTTTATCAATGGATTCTTAAAATCTTGAGTTAGTCTTTATCTTCACAAGTTTATACCTGCAACAAGTTATTTCTTTTGAAGGATTAACTATTAACCATTTGTAGGATTTTCCGGGATGTACCGAGTGACATGACTATAGATGTGAGTGGAGTAACATTTTCTTTGCACAAGGCAAGTATCCATCTTGTTAACTTGAACTTACTTTTGTTCTGATCCCAAGCATGACGGTTCTGATTGTCCTTCTCTTTATATGAAGTTTCCTCTTGTCTCTAGAAGCGGGCGAATACGGAGCTTAGTTGCGGAACATAGAGATTCTGATATCTCAAGAGTTGAGCTTCTTAATTTACCCGGAGGAGCTGAGTCCTTTGAGCTGGCTGCAAAATTCTGCTACGGTATAAACTTCGAAATTACATCTAAAAATGTTGCTCAGCTCTGTTGTGTTTCTGATTACCTTGAAATGACTGAAGAATTCTCGAAAGACAACCTTGGCTCGAGGGCTGAGGAATATCTAGATAGCATTGTTTGCAAGAACCTTGAAATGTGTATTGAAGTCTTGCAACAATGTGAAAACCTACTCCCTCTTGCTGATGAACTAAAAATAGTTAACCGTTGCATAGAAGCCATAGCCTCAAAAGCTTGTGCAGAGCAAATAGCTTCTAGTTTCTCACGGCTAGAGTATAGCAGCTCAGGGAGGCTACACATGAGCAGGCAAGCCAAATGTGATGGTGACTGGTGGATAGAAGATCTTTCTGTTCTTCGCATTGACATGTATCAACGAGTCATAACTGCAATGAAATGTCGTGGGGTCCGGCCTGAGAGCATTGGTGCCTCCCTTGTAAGTTATGCTCAGAAAGAATTGACAAAGAAATCCAGCTTGTGGAATCCTTCTAGCCAGACTAAAGCTGATTCTGATTTAATTGATCATGAACAGCTTGTGGTTGAGACTATAGTAAGCCTTTTGCCAGTTGAGAAGCTTGCTGTTCCAATCACTTTCCTTTTTGGGCTTTTGAGAAGTGCAGTGATGCTTGATTGTGCTATTGCTTCCAGACTTGACCTAGAAAGAAGGATTGGATCACATCTTGATGTGGCCACTATTGATGACCTTCTTATTCCATCATTTAAGCATGAGGGTGACACCTTATTTGATGTAGACACAGTCCATAGAATTTTGTTAAACTTCTGTCAGCAGGATGATAGTGAAGATGATCTGGATGATGTTTCTGTTTTTGAATCCGATAGCCCTCCTTCTCCTTCACAAAAATCATTGGTTAAAGTGGCAAAATTAGTGGACAATTACCTTGCTGAAATTGCCCCTGATGCAAACCTGAAGCTTTTGAAGTTCATGGTCATTGCAGAAACCTTGCCAGCACATGCACGAACTGTTCATGATGGGTTATATCGAGCCATTGACATTTATTTGAAAGTATGTTTTGTCATCCTTCCTCGCATTTATGGGCACAAGATTTTTGCCAATCACATAGATGAATTTTCAGAGGGAAGAAATGGAGTGAGCCTGTTAGGAATGAACCCAATCCATTAGATTATTAGGTCTTTGGTTTCTTCAACTTAAAATTATCAGGTCTACAAACGGATTCTATACATCTTTCCTATAGTTCAATTCCATTTAACATAAGACTTTTTCTCACTCTTTACTCTCACTGGGCCCCTGACATCTCTGTTTTAATTCTTCTATCAATGTTTTCTCAGGCTCATCCAGGCTTGTCAGAGTTGGACAAGAAGAAGCTATGCAAATTGCTTGATTTCCAAAAGCTTTCACAAGAAGCTGGGGCTCATGCTGCACAAAATGAGCGCCTCCCTCTTCAGTCAATAGTACAAGTTCTTTACTTTGAGCAATTAAGGTTAAGAAATGCCTTGTGCTGCTCCTCTGTGGAAGATGACCCCAGGCCAATGCATCAGTCATGGCGCATGAGTAGTGGAGCACTAAGTGCAGCAATGTCTCCCCGGGACAATTATGCATCATTGAGACGAGAAAATCGTGAGTTAAAACTCGAGTTAGCTCGGTTAAGAATGAGATTAAATGATCTGGAGAGGGACCATGTGTTCTTGAAAAGGGATATGGCAAAGTCAGGTTCAAGAAAATTTATGAATTCCTTCTCAAGAAGGATCAGTAAGCTTAACTTCTTTGGACTTGTCTCTTCTAGAGGATCTAGTTCTCCTCCATCTAGGAATTCTCAGAGAATAGATTCAAAGGTGATTGAGAGAACCTGTGCTAGCACTGAGTAGGTATAGGTGCAACTATTGATTCTCACAATAATGCATTTGGATAAACACACACTAAAGAATGTAAATGTGTATCAGACTCACTTTCACTTTTCACAGAGATTCCCTCTTTTTATATTTTTTTTCTGAATACACTGATATTGATTCTGATTCGTAAACTGATTATTCTATTTGTTTTCTTGTTATGTTTTTCACCAAAATTACTATTCCTCCTCTCCTTAATATAAGATATATTTAACTAATTTGATTAGATTAAGAAAATTAGGTAAGTTAGTTAATTATAAGAAATTTGACATATTTTTCCTAATACACCATAATCATCTTCTTTAATATCTTCCCTTCCTCTTCTACTGATTATAGTTGAGGGAGTATCCATAGGGGTAATTTAGAAAAAATTAATAAATATGGAAAATAGGTCTCATAGTTAGAATCAAAATCAACTTAACAATTATGTCTTATATTAAGAACCGGAAGAATAATAGTCATGCTTGTGAAGGCAACTTATCAATTCATTTTTATGTTTACTTCTTTCTTTCGTGGTCACCTTGCATATTAGAAGTGACATTTGTTAGTATAAGGAGGTACCTTTCTTTGATTCAACTTCAGGTCTCTCGTGATGACTGCAACTGTTTTGTCTGATTATATATGTATGTGAGTATATATCATAGAATGTTATGCTCAATTTACAGAACTTTATGAGTATTTAAATCAAGTGTAGATACCCTTAGTTTGAATACTACTTTTAGCTGAAATATATACTTTACTAATTGAAATAGAAATTATATGTCATCTTCTTTAATCAAGTTTAAATTTAAATTGCACATTTTAAAAAAAAATTAAATATATATTTTAGCTTCAAGTTTTGAAAAATTTTCTCATATCGAATTTGATGTGCTATGTTACTAGTGCTTAACATTTATATGGCGAATTTGAAGGGGAAAAAATATCACCAAAAGACTTTTTTTTTTTGACACTATCTCAAAAGATTTCTATAAATTATTCACAACAAAAAAGAATAGGTCTCATTTTTATTTACTAAGATGGATTTGTTTCTATCCTGTCTCGTCCTATAAACAGTCTTATTTCGAGCTAGATATCTTTTTTGATGGCTTATAAATTGTAAATTAAATGTAGAATTATAAGCTGTGGTAAAAAAAAAAAAGGTAGAATTATAAGACACAGCACACGAATCCTATCTCCAGGCCATATATCTTTTATAATAGCTTGTGAGATGGCTTGACAGAGTCGTTAATAGTAATATATTGGATGAATACTGATATTGATATCACAAATTATTTGCCATTAAATATTACAAATTATTTGAGATTTTATAATTATATGAATGTAAATATAAAATTAATTCTCAAGTTTGCCTTCAATCAATTTAGTCTTTCTTATCACTATATATATTCTTGCCAGTTACTAGATTAAAAAGAAGGATATCTGTGTTTGAAAACAAATGAGTTAATGAAAGTTTTTATTTTATTTTAATTAAATTAAAAAAAATATATATTTGCATAAAATTCAAAACCAACTTGAGGCTTGCAAATAGTAGAACTATACATATGATTAAAAGTAGCAATGGCCTTTCAAATATTCGGAGCCTCAGAAATATTTTGAAGTGTTAGGTTATTAACTAGCATGATTAACTTTACTCTTTAACTATCAAAAGAAAATGCAAGGTCAATAAACCTCCCTTTTGCAGTCAACAGCATATATTGAATAATATTGTACACACATATATACATCCATAGGTAATCTCTATACTTATATAACATAAAATTTATAAAAAGTTGTATTATTAATAAATTATAAAAAAAATATGATTCATCTCTTTTTCCATGTAAAATATGAATTTATAGTCTAGTTTTATATTAAACATCCATATTGATATGAAGGGAACATTTTAACTTCTGTAATTTATAGTTAGATTATTCCTTTTTTCCCACTAAGTCGTGATATTATGAAAATAATAATACTATTTTGGTTTTTCAAGTTTATTTAACATTTTAAGAGAATTGTTTTAGCCAATCATTTTTTAAAATAATCTAGCCTTGTTTCAATGAACCATCATTGAAAAAAAATCCTCACAAGACCCTTTTTTTTTTTTTTAAGTAAAAGTCTGTATTCAACTGAGGGTAAAACCCATCAAAGCAAACAAAAGTCGGCATCCTTCATCAAAATCTACCTCAGGACAACGCGGTGAAGGGTGACCGAGGATGTAAAAATTATCAAACATCACACGGGAGGATTTAGCTAGCAAATTAGACCTTATTTTTGTTTTAGGGCTATCTTCTTTTCTTTTTTCTTTTTCGGCTAACTAGGGTTATCTTCTTTTATTTTCTTTTTTGGAATGAAAATACGTATCCACTAATGAAGTTTTTTTTTTCCCCCAGTTGTTAATAAAGTTTAGTTCTTGGGATATTTCCTTGCTGTGCATCAGGTTTTCCTTTTAGTTTTGTGTTCCATGTTTTAGGCTTTCCAGCAATTCTTTTCTAGTTTGTTTGGGTTCCCTGTTTGTGATGAATAAAATAATGAAAGTTTAGTTCTTTGCGAACTCAGCCGGAAGACAGCATAGGTCTCCCTTCTTCCCGTCCATTCCTTCATTGTTCAAGTTTAAAATCGGCGGCGGCCAATGGCAGGCATTTTCTCCTCGTCTTTCTCTGGCTCTTTCTGTCTCAGGGCTTATTGTGACAATTCCTCCTGCTTCTGCATTTCAGGGGTACGAATTCTTCCGTACCTAGTTTGCTGTCACTTGTTTGGATTCCTCGTGTTTGGAATTGTTATATGCCTGTTCGTTTCATTGCTAAAATAGTATAGTATAATGGGAGATTGGAGTTCTACCCGAGATCTTTTTCTTCTTCTTTTTGTGTAATTTCCCGGTGAAGAACTCATGACTGCATTTCAAAACTTTGTTTACATGAGTTTTGCTTGTTTGGCTTTTTTTTTTTTCCCCCTCCCCCGCGTATGGTTGCTAAAAATCTGTTTTTGATAGTTTGGTCTGTGTTGGTGGACCTAGTTTCAATTCCCCTTCCTTATAGAGTTACATTTGTAAAGCTGAATGTGTAACTATGTGACGACAGCTTGTGGTTCCGAATCAATGTTTTTTGCCTGAGCTCGGGAAGGTTGAAATATATTATTATTTGAGTTGGTATGCACGTTTCCTTTAAATTAACATAACTAGAATTCGCTTAATGCATTTGGAATTTGACATGAGCCGTACCTCTCTACAATTTATATAAATATATTAATGTTTATTATGTAACATGGAAGATTTTTGTAATCTTTCTCCTTCAATAATTATTTAACGTCTCCCTGACCTAGTCCCTGTCTCCCTCATTTTTGCCTTATCCAGAGTATAAGGAGCAGCTGACCCTACTCAGCAAACATTGCTGCTTTCATGCCAGTGGTGAATTCTGGTACGATTACTTTAGTAAGTAATTCATATCGAATTTGCAGAAATGGCAGTGCGTTTGTGAATTTTTTCTTCGCTTGGTGCTCTCAGGACAATGGATTTGACGGATGTTAGTGAAGCCCATGATTGTAATTATATAGAATTGCAGCATATAATGAAGAATTATGCTACCTCAGGCTACTTTGAAAAAGCTGTGGAGACACTGTGTTGCATGAGAAATACAGCTGGGAAGCCTACTGTTTATGACTATAATGGTTTGATTTATTGCTATTTGAGATCCCATAATGCATCAACAGACAAGCTAGAGCAGTTATATCTAGGAATGAGACGGTTTGGTCCTGTTCCAAATGCATTAACCTTTAACACACTTATTAATGGGCTGCTGGGTCTCAATAAGCTGAAAACTGCCTTTTTGATTGCAAAAGAGATGCATAGTAGCGGGTTTGTCCCATCATTCAGCTTATTGTCTGGAATGCTGAAAAAACTGATATACTCGGGGCATTTTATTGATTCCCTCAACGTTTTTTACTTCATGGTGCAGTTGAAGTACTATCCTACTCAGCACACTGTAGATTCTTTGATTTCTATGCTTGGCAAGGCTGGGATGATCCAAAAGCATATTTTGTACTATCTAACCCTTCTGGAAGAGGGTTGCTTCTGTGGCACGCATAATTATAATAAAATTCTGTGGGCTATGTGCAAGTCTGGCCAGAGTTATGCCGCTCTGCAACTTTTTCATTTAATGAAAAAAAGGTATAGTCCCCACTGTCTGCTCTTATACTGCTTTAGTTTATGGATTTTGTAAAGAAGGTTGGCATGAAGAAGATCTCTACGCTGTCTAGATGACATGGAAAGTGATGGTTGTAATCCCAATGTCAAAACATACACTATAATCATCAAATTTCTATGTGATAATGGGAAAATTGATCAGGCACTAGAATACCTAGCCAAGATGCAGA